CCCACCGGCCCCACCCCTTTCCTGGCTCCTCCCCCGACGTCTCCTCAGGCCCCGCCCTTGGCTCCGCCTCGACTCTCCGGCTCCGCCCCTTCCTTGCCTCTTCCAGCTGCGTTTCTCTTTTCCGTTCTCACTGCGGGCTCGCTTTGCTTTTCCGGCTCCCAGCACCTCCCCCTGGGCTTTTCCTCCTCCCTTGTCTGTGGCTCCAGCTCCCGGGCTCTTCCCCCGGCCCTTCCCTCAGCGGTACCGCCTTCCCGCCTGCGGCAGCCTCGGGCGGACCCTGTGCGCCTGGCTGAGTCAGGCTAGACTGGCTAGCCACCCTCCTCCGCGCGGCCTTTGGGGCAGAGGCCCACTCACTCTCCCACCTTCCCATGCGGCGGGTTATTCATTCCTTCCATTTTACCCAAAAAGAGCCAGGCCGAGTCCCTGAGTCCCCCTCTTCCTCGGGCACAGTCCCTGAGGGCCCAAGTGCCTGCAGAGAGGGAGCCTAGCGAGGAGAGCAAGCCAGAAGTGTGACCCAAGGTGCTGGCTAAAAGGCTTCATCCCAGGCCTGGCTATCCACTGAGCACAGGCAGTATAGGCAATTCCTATTAGAAATTTGTGACGTTTGACAACAACAGGCATTCAGTAAGTGCACATCAACGAGAAGGATGTAACAACCAAAAATACACAGTGTTCACACGCAGCACAGCGTTAAATGGTGAGAAAGTACAGATGACCATTGTGCCTGAATTAAGCATGATGGGTTTGAGGATATTTCATTCAGGGAATCAGTTAATGAAGTGGAAGACATGTAGTTTGGCTGGGTAAGATGGCCCGTATTACCTTGAAAAGAATGGATTTGGGAAACAAGGCCCCCAGTTCCAAATCCAGCTCCAAGTCTGTCCAGCTGTATAATCTTAGGGAAGTCTTGGTCTCAGATGGCAACTGAACTTTTATTACACTCCCTGTTACATAAACCAGTGAGTCTTTCTCCCATCTCTTGTCTTCTCTAATGCCTTGGAAGGAAATGAAAAAAAAAAAAAAAAAAGGTGATAAGAAAAGGGAGGTAATACCTTTCACCTTCTGCTCAAACAAAAAATGAGAGGGCCCAAAAGCAGGAAGGACTTGCATTTCTACTTATTTCACTCCACACTGATTTCATTGTTGAATTTCCATAGCAGAAAACAAGTACCATAACAACAAAATGTCCTGGAATCTTTTTCTGTAAGTACTGTGCCTAGTGGGCTGCCCAGACATCTCAATCATAAGTATTAAGGAGATTGTGCTTAGTGTATCATATATTTTTTAAAAATATTTATTTAGTTGTAAATAAACACACAGTATATATATTTTTTTTCATGTGGTGCTGAGGCTTGAACCCAGTGCCTCACACATGCAAGGCAAGTGCTTTACCAGTGTATACGATTTGAACAAAGATAATGAGGATAAGAAGTTTCAGCAGAACCATCAGTTTCACATTTATTGTTGAATTCAGCCATATGTTGTCTTTCCTTAGCAAAAATGAGTAATGAGAAAAACTTTTGAAGACAGTATGTCCTACAAATTATTTCAGTATTTTTAAAGAATCACATGAAGATGAAAAAAAGCAATGTTTTTTAGTTCATTAAAACTTTTCCCCTGATTTCTGTTGGTTTTGGGGATTTGTTTTCTTTCTTTTTTTTTTTTTTTGAGGGGAGTGGTACTAGGGATTGAACCCATAGGTGTTTTTCCACTGAGCTACATCCTCAGCTCTTTTTATTTTTATTTTAAGACAGGGCCTTGCTAAGTTGCTGATCCTCCTGCCTCAACCTCCTTAGTCAATAGGATTACAGACTTGTACCACTGCACCCAGCCATGAAGGAAACTTTAATCAGTGTAGCTACACCAGGAAAACAAAGTACCTATATTCTTCTTCTTTTTTTTTTTTTTAATGTTTGTTTAGTTGGAGATGAACACACAGTATCTTTATTTATATTTATGTGGTACTGAGGCTTGAACCCAGTGCCTCACAAATACAAGGCAAGCACTTTATCACTGAGCTACAGCCTCAGCCCCAGGACCCATATTCTTAACCCTTTCTTTCTCCTGATGTTTTAAATCAGTGATTCCAACCCTGACTACCTATTAGAATCACCCAAGAGTTTTTCAAACATACCAATGCTTAGACCTCAGGCTAATTAAACTAGAATTTAACTGTGGAAGGGTCTTGGCATTAGTATTTTTTTCCTAAACTTCCCAGATAATTCTAATGTACAACCAGGATTAAGTGCTACTGTTTGGAATGAAATTAATTAGAAAAATTTGCCTGACAGCAGCTTGAAAAAACAGCAATCAGTCATTAAGGCCAATGTATGGAGTTGGTCACCTATAAATTCAGAGTTAAGTAGAGTCCTTAGGAGAGAGGAAAACTTGGCAGGAAGATGCTTCTATAATCTGTGTGGCCCAAATGTAGACTACTATCTCAGTGAAGCTCCAAATGCAAGCTCAGTTTAGGAGTATGCAAGCTGAGCAGAATGATGAAAAAAAAGAAAATGCTTTATTCCTAGGACAAGTTGCATCCCCAGTCTCCCGGGACAGTTACCTTGCCTTGCTCCTGCTTTGGAGTTTTTGAGGGACACTGCAACTTCTCCCCTCCTTTAGTGACCCCTCCTTGGCCTGTGGCTGTGCCAGCATTCATCAGCCTCTTCCAGCTTTCTAATTCAAGGTCCTCCTGCCTGGCGTCACCCAGGTTATAATGGAAAGGTTTTTTTTGTTTTGTTTTGTTTTGTGGTGCTGGGGATTGAGCCCAGGGCCTTGTGCACGAAAGGTAAGCACTCTACCAACTGAGCTATGTCCCCAGCCCTATAATGGAAAGTTTTTGTGATGCTATTCTACTTTTTTTAAAACATTGATGATCATTGTACATATTATTTATCTTCTTTTACACATGTGACATACTTTTACTAATTTAAGTATATTCATTAAAAAAGCTGGGTTCTAGCCAGTTCTGTGTAATCCTGATCAAGTCACTTAATCCTTTGTAGTCCGTTTCCTTATTAGAAGAGACAATCACAAAGAGTTCTTCCAGTACAGAAATCAATGAATGTGAGAAAATATATTTACATAATTAATATCACACAAATAATGATGGTAAATGACCTAACTCTGATTATCTTGTTGGCCCTTCAATGTCAGGGTTTTGTTGTTGTTGTTGTTGTTGTTGTTTTTGCAGTACTGGGAATAGAACCTAGGCCTTGCATACCAGAGAAGCAGTCTCTCATTCAATTATACCCGCAGCCCCTCAATGTCAGGTTTATTACTTACCTCTGAGATTTGGGAGTTTTGATTAGACTTTGGTGTCCTCTAGTAGCATTTGACTTTTAACATCATCTCCTGGCTTCTATGTGTATCTATGAGAGCTTTCATCATCCTTGTCTGTATATGAGAAATCTGCTGCTAATTACTTAGGTCAGCAGTCAGGGTGGCTTAACTTTAGGGTTAAGGGCCCAAAACAGGGGCTGGGGATGTGGCTCAAGTGGTAGCATGCTCGACTAGCATGCGTGGGGCACTGGGTTGGATTCTCAGCACCACATAAAAGCAAAATGAAGATATTGTGTCCACCTAAAATTAAAAAATAAATATTATTTTAAAAAAGGGCCCCAAACACTGTGATTATTAATTTTTTAAATTTTTTTTATTATTTTGTGGTGCTGGGGGTAGAACCCGGGCCTTGGAGATAGTAGGCAATTGCTCTACCACTGAGCTATATCCCCAGTCCACATGATGGTTAATTTTATGTGTCAACTTCACTGAGCTAAAGGATGCCCAGAAAGCTGGTAAAAGATGATTTCTGGGTGCATGTGAGGATGTTTCCAGAAGTGATGAGCATTTAAATTGGTAGACTGAATAAAGAAGTTGTGGATGGCCATTATTCAATTCATTGAGAGCTGGATATGACAAGAATGCATAGGAAGGGGGGCTGGGGTTGTGGCTCAGTGGCAGAGCACTTGTCTTGCATGTATGAGGCAGTGGGTTCGATCCTCAGCACCACATCAAAAGATAAATAAACAAAATAAAGTTATTGAGTCCATGTATAACTAAAAAAAAAACCTGGAAAAAAAAAAAAAAGGAAGGAAAGGGCAAATTGGCTTCCTGTTAGAGTTGGGATATTGACCTTTTTCTCTCTCAGATATCTGAGCCCCAGGTTCTCAAAACTCAGGACGTGAACTAAGACTTACACCTTTGGTTTCTCTGGTTCTTAGGCCTTCAGATTTGGCTGGGAATCATGCCACAATGTTTTCCTGTTTCTCCAACTGCCAGACAGTAGAACAAGGAAATTCTCACCTTCATTATCTCATGAGCCAATCCCCAGAATTAATAAACACACACACACACACACACACACACACACACACACACATACATACAAGTTATGGGTTGTTTCTTTGGGAAATCCTAGGGACAGAATGCAATGGACTGCATATTTATATCCTCCCCATTCCCCAAATTCATATATTGAAGCCCTAATGGCAAGGTGATAGTACTAGAAGGCCAGGCTTTGGAGAAGTAATTAGCTCATGAATGGCATTAGTGCTTTTACAGAAGAGTACTTGCTGAGGTGTCTTGCTCCTTTAGTCATGTGAGGACACACCAAGAAAACAGGTGTCTGCTATATACCAGAAAGCCCTCATCAAACACCAAGTTTGCCAGCATCTTAATCTTTTAACTTCCCAGCCTCCAGAACTGTGAGGAATAATTTCTGTTGTTTATGAGCCACCTAGTCTATGACATTTTGTTTTAGCCAGAACAATCTAAGATATAAACCAAATGTTTACATTTGGCCAATCATCA